ATTATGTGACCCAGTATATTAATAGGCTTCAGATTAAGGCTTTGGGTACTTATCAAGAGGTTAAATAAGCTAACTTACTTCGAACTATAGTGAGAAAAATTTATACCTGATATGCAGAATTTTTTTACACCTATCCCAAATTTACACTGACCGGGACCTGAAAAATTTACACTCATCTTATATTTTTTCACCTGAGGTTAGACTTTTTGACCCTAACTATTTGGAGGGTTTAAATAGTTCAAGAATGGTTTCTTGTATATCGAGAAAATATTGGTATGCTAAAATATGTTCTATAGCTTTTTAACTTTCTTGTACACATATAAAAATTTACACCTAAGACGAGCTTAGGTGTATATTTTTTTACTTTGCTAGATGATAATGAATCCTTTTTAGAATTAATTCTAGGATATCTCAAAAATTAGTATGTATCTTTGGCTTGACAAGGTCGTAGACTCGAATATTTCATCACTTCGTTCCTCAATAATCGAGTCTACTCCCAAAGGCAAGTAGTATAACATAAATATTAGTATACATAGAAGGTTTGCAAAGACTCCAAGAGTTTAGCTTCGAACCTTTTGGTTCTTGCCAAACTCGTATCATCTTAAAGGCAAATAGAATTATATAATTTTTTTGATATCTTTGGTGGGTTTAAAATCGTACTAGAAATGATATATCAATTTGGTTGATTTTAGCTTCCGAAGCTCAAATTTTATAGCAAGGAGATTGATAACGAAATTGAGTGCCAGTGCAATTTTAGACCTGAATTTTATATTATGGATTCATATAGCTAGAAGGGTTTCTGGTCTATGATTAGGATCTTTCTGGATATCTTTTTCGATTTTAACCCTAGAACCTCCAATTTTGCCCTACTAATTTATATATTATAATTTATTATATTAAATTATTATAAATTCAAAAATTATATTAATTTAAAAAAAAATATAAAGTAAAATTAATTGATTTTTATTTAAAAATATATAAAAATATATTTTTAATAATATAATATTTAAAATTTTAAATCTTTCTATTATCAATATAGTTAGTTCTTTTTAAATGTATACCTTAAGATCTATAGTAAAAATTTTTTAAAAAAATGCATTTAAAATGGATATGCATTTATAGAGAAAATTTTTATATAATTTCTATATCCTTGGAATTGAATAAAAAAAAGTTAATTATAATTTGTTAAAAAGTTAATTTAATTAATCTTTTTTTTTTATTATACTTTTTCAATAAATATAATTTTTGCAAATATCTTTTTATAATGTATTATCCAAGATTTATAGTAAAAGATTTTACTACAAATAAATTTTTATAGATTTATTATTATATAATTATAAAGAAAACTATATATATTTTTTTGGAAAATTGTGAACCAAATATCAACTCATTGAAAAATCACGTGATAGAGCACAAAATTAAATTGATTACAAAGGTTACAAATATAACCCGCAGGAGCGTGGCAAAAATTCATTGGTTCTTAGATGTGTTAGATTTATTCAGTATAAATAGGGGCGGTTAACGCACTTTTTTTTTTCGGAAACCTATTTTTCTTTATTTTTCACACCTTTTCATCTCGACAAAAACGCATATATAACCTTTTATTATCTCAACTAAGAAAGATAAAAATGTCTGATAATATCAAAGAATTCATTGAAATGCCGAGACAGTTTGTTAAAGAAGGTTCACAGTTTATAAATCGGTGTACAAAACCTGACCGAAAAGGTATTTACAATTTTTAATGGTTATTTTTGTTTAAAACGAAATGTTTTAAGGAGTTAATTTATTCAAGTTAAAAAAAATATATTTTTTTTTAAAAGAATTCATTAAAATCTCACAAGCTGTTGCTATGGGATTTTTTGTCATGGGATTCATTGGCTTCTTTGTGAAATTGATCCATATTCCAATTAATAATATTCTTGTGTACGTATTAATTATTTTAACATTCATCGCTACTCAAATGATTTGAATCTTAATTGTTATTAACTTCTCATTTCTTTTTACAGCGGTGGTGCATAAACACTTAGATCTGTTAATTATCATCTTTACAATGAGCTCAAAAAAAAAAAATTAATAGAGAACCAAAAATTACTATTATTTACTATTCTTAATTAAAGTTTGAAGGGTTATTAATTAGGAACATATTTGTTTTCTTGATTTAGTCTTCTAGATACGGTACATCTTAGTTTTTTTTTTATTTTATTAAAACATTATTATATACGGCTTTTCATCAATAAATTTACAAGACTTAAAATTCATTTTTTTGTTGTTTTACATATTTACCTTCATAATTCCACCAATATGCAAAAAAAAATAAAATAAATAAAAAATCTTTTCTCTCTCAGCAAAACCTATCCACTAATTACATGTTTAAAAATATTATATATATTATAAAAAAGTTACGCTTTATCACCAATGTAATAATACATCCTTTTTGTTTTCCTTCTTCATATTTAGTTATCTCCTCTTAACCTTGTTTTTTGATTTCCTTTCAATTCATCTTCTACCACTAAACGGTCAACAGCGTAAAGACTATTCAAATAACCTTGACGTCTTAATAAACCCAATTCTTGTTCAGCTTTTTGTACAAGTTGTATAATTCTTTCGGAATTTGTTTCATTTTTATTTTCACGAAAAGAATCTTTTGTTTTACGATATGCGTAATCTTTAAAATTATAGCTAGAAAACTTTTGACTTGCTCGAAGTAGTGAACGATACAAATGAAGAATATATGTTCGGCTTGGTAATGTTTGTGTAGCCATATTAATGAAAAGAAAATTTTCGGTTTAAAATGAAAAAGGTCGAAAAAATTCTTAATCTGATAAATCTGAATTCATATAAGTTATTTACCTAACGGGATTTTATTTAGTGGCTTAATTTTAGATCTGAATTTTTAACAATTCTTATTGGATAAATACCACGTGAATTTTTGAAGAATTTATAAAAAATTTTTTTTTTTACAAAATTTGTTCCCTCTCGATTTTTTGAACCCTATCAAAAAATAGTCAACATGGTAAGTGATGTTATAGTTTGCGGAAATATTTATTAAGAATAAATGCATATCTTACGAGCGTTGACAATAGTTTCCTAATGTCAATAAGTTTTAAAACAAATACATATACACATGTATCTCTCAAAATCCATCTGTCGTGATAATGAGTTGGATCGTGAATTGGATTGAACGATTTCATCAATTTATTATAATTCTTTTTAATATCATGTGATTTGTGAAGGATGAGACTTTTATTAACTTTTTGCGTGTGATTTTACTTTTATTTAAATAGGGTCGTGTCCGAACAAAGACAGTAAAGAAGGTTGGTAATGTTTAAATTGTGATGGATGTATCAAACTTATTCAAATTAAATATATATTTAACAGGTTCGTTTTATTCTTAGGCATCCAGAGTAATTATTGAGAAATATTACCCACGTCTCACCCTCGACTTTCAAACAAACAAAAAAGTAAGCGTTATTTGTAAATATCCGGGTGATTTTTTATGTTTTAAATATGTAAAATAATATTGATCAAATTCTTTAATCAGATTTGTCATGAAGTCGCAATTATTGCGTAAGTATTTTCGCCAAATACATCGTCTAAAAAAAAGTATAAATCATCTTCAATAAAAATCTTATTTATAATATAGATCAAAGCGCCTTCGTAATAAAATTGCAGGGTTCACTACACATTTAATGAAACGTATTCAACGTGGACCTGTACGTGGTATTTCTTTCAAATTACAAGAAGAAGAGCGTGAGAGAAAGGATAATTATGTTCCCGAAGTATCTGCTTTAGCATTAGATTCTATTGAAATCGATCCAGATACGAAGGTACGAAAATTTAACAATTTTCTTTTCAAATAAATATATATTTTCTTGTTCTTGCGGAAAAAAAAATTTTTTTAGCTAATTTTAGTTCATTTAAAAATTTAGGAACTTCTTAAACTTTTGAACTTTGAGAATTTGAGTGGTGTTACCGTTACAGCTCCAGTTGCTTTGAACACACTTGCCGAACGTCCGGGACGTGGCCCGAGAGGTCGTGGAGGTGGTGATCGTCCACCTCGTCAAGATGCTTAATAAAAATATTATTTTAATTGCCGTTTTTAAATTTCATATTTTCTGAAGAATTTGTTGATTTAGTATAAAAGTTATAATTTTTGATTTCTTTCTAATTCAGATAAAATTTTATTATGCAAATATAGTAATTTTGTACATTTCATTTAAGATTTTATCACTTTACTTAAATAAATTTCCTTCACGCCCCTGAACTCGTATTCAAGGAGTTGAACTGGTTTCATTATATCATAAAAAAAGAGCTCAAACTATTTTCAAAAATTTTTTTATATGTATTAATATATTATTATACACCAGGAAGTATTAAATGTTACTTCTATCATCTACAATTAAAAACATCTTAATTTAGTTAATCTTCCTCTCATGAGTATAATTATGATTAAAACCGTTATTTCGAGGAATATAATCGAAGTATAATGTTCTTGATTCATTTTTGAACATTTACTTAGTAACTTAAACACCAAAAAAAAGAAAATTATCACGTAATATTAAAAATCATTAATTGTCACATAGTCAATTCATGTGCACATGATTTTTTAATGTTATTCAATTTTGCAATTTTTGTACAACAATTTTATGTGTAAAAAAATTTTATAGATATGTATAAAAAAAATTTGCAATCTTTTCATTTTATTTTAAAATTTCATTTATTAATATGGCTAATATTACAAAATACTTACTTGACTATAATTCTAAAAATAATAAAAAAACAAGAATAATTAAAAAAAAAATCAAATGATAAAAGTACAAATGATAATTATATTAAAAATATCAAAATTAATAATGAAAAAGAGCTAAATAATATATGTATTGAAAAAAGACAAAAAAAATAATATATATGTTTAAATAAAGATAATCTTAAATGGAATCCAATTTGAATATTAAAATATCTGTGACTTTATTATAAAAAAAAATGAAAGAGTAGTTTTATTTTATAAAATATGTAAAGATGCAGGTTGTACTAGAATAAGATAACTATTAATTCAGAATGGTTAAAAGAAGATTGTATTATGTAACATAAAAAATCCAAAATATAAAAAATCCGAGTTAATTAAATATTAAAAAAGGATTTATGCATTAAATAGGTAGTAATCAAGTATTGATTATTAGATGTATGTATAATATATATTATTTAATACATATAGCACATAATAATTATGAATCACTTTGTAAATTAGTTAAATATCAAATATAAAATCCAAATCAAATTTGTAATAATCATTTTCATGATAAAATTATTTTAAATTTATAGTGTAGATCATTAATAGTCTGAAATTTTTTTTACTAATTATAAATATATCATATGATCTTTATCTAATCAAAACAATTATTTATTAAAATTATCATGTAATTTGATCTATTTATTAATCATACTTTAATTTATTAAATCATAAAGCAAAAAAAAATTTTAAAATTAAAAAAATATTATTATTTAATTTGTTTTATTTAATTTCTTCTTATTCAGTTTGCATTTTTTAATGTAACTTTTCTTTTGTTAAGTTAAGGCTAAATTTTAAGGTTTAAAATCTAAAAATAAAAAAATCCATTAATATTGTATTATAACTTTTCACATGAAAACATTTATTTTATTAAATAAAATTGATATTATATAATAAATTTTATATCTAAAATTTAAGTATTTATAAGAAATTGTTAATTTTCAAATACAAAAAGTTCAAAAACTTTCTAGTTAATTAAAGATTTAAAACTGTAATTTTTATTCTCTATTGTTTATACTATCATTATTATAGATCATTTTCTCTTTATAATATATAAAACAAAAGTTTTAGTATTTTGAAATCTGATGATTTTATTTCTATTTATAGTTGATTTGTACTATATAAGTTATAATTATACAACTTATAAAAATCCAGTTACAGAAAAGAAGTTACTTTTTTTAATATTTACTATTTTTGAAAAAAATGTTATTGCTAAAGTAAAAAATTAGAGTTTAATTATTAATAAACTAACACAAATATTATATATAAAAAGTTATTTATATTAGTTTTCAATGTATTTAGTAAATAGAAAATTTACATTTCATTTTTTTAGAATAACATAATTAACAGATACATTAGTTAGAATTACAGATAGAATTAAAAAAAAAAGGATTAGATATAAGTAAATTATGACATTTTGGTAGTGATGATACTATAACTATAACAGGTTTTATAATTTATAATTTAAACTATTAAAATAAAATTAAATATTAAATAATATAATTTTGTTTTATTTTTAGACATTTGTAATGATGTTACAATTCAACTTAAAAAATCAATCTTTTATTACATCCAATTATTGTATTGTATATCATTTACATTTAGTTTCAGAAAAAACAGCTAATGAAACATCATATTTTGTATATTATAAAATAATGATAAAAGAATTTATTCTTATTTTTCTAATTCATACAAATAGATATATAAATTAAAAAATTAAAAAAAAAATAAATATTTCTGATTTAACAATTCTTAATATATATGATACATAATGGTTACTATAATCTAATATAATTATCAGATCATTGAATCTATTATAAAAGTATTATGATGTGATTATAATTTATTGTTAACGTGTGATTCTGTCAAATCGTAACTATTAGACAGGGTGTTCAATTGGTGAATTCTTATAAAGTTTACATAGTATTCTAATATAATTTTGAGATAATTTATGATTATATAGTGGTATACACGTAGTGATACTCAAAGTCAAATAACTCGGTTGATTCAGTTAGATAATAATATCCAAAGTTCCTCCTTCCTCTCTATCTAAAGGGAGTGTGAATGCCAAGAGGTTATTAATTTGTTGTTATCAATTCAAGTAAGTGCTTGAGGCCACATTTAGAACTAACATGTTTAGATCTAAAGTTCAGCATAAATAAGGAAGGTGAGCAATCAAAAAGATTGCTATGAAACCTTTGGCTCCGGAATCTGCGGAAAGAAGCGGGTTTATTTCAGTTGTTATGCATTTGCAAAGAAATGTCTTCAGGACTTGTAAACTAATACCTAGTTTCCATTCCAAGGATCTCATTACAAATAATGAAACGGACTATTAGGTTAGAGTGTTGTACAATGAATATAACAGGTATCTGGTGATGGATAGAATAGACGAAAGGAATAGGATAGACTTTATCATTTATCATAAGCGTCTTTCAGTAGTATCACGGTCGACCCGATATGTATTTTTTATTTACAATCAATAAACAGTATAATATTCCGCATAGTATGGGTTGTGGGAATTGAAGGATTGTATTTGCATATACATTTCATGATATAGATTTCCTTCCAGTTCAACGAAGTCATGCATAGATGCTCAAAGTCAAATAATAAAAATGAAATAATTTTTGAAAAAAGTTATTTTGTGAAATCAAAAAAAAGCCTGAAATAAAAATTTGAAAGGAAACTGAGTAACAGTTTGGGCATGCAACGAACGTTTCTTTTAAAAAAGGTGATATCGTCAATTTTGAATGATTTTATTTCAGATTCAATATCTTGGTTTAAGAGGATAAATGCTTTGATGTTTAAGAATGCAACTTTGATATTATCGATATGCCGTTTACTTCTTTGACAATAAAATCTTGAATTAAGCGTTCCTTAATGTCATGGACGTAACATATTGTGATTGTCTTGGAAGGCATTTAGGAAGTTTTTATTTCGGTTCGTTAGTAAGAGTTCTAAAGTAATTTATTTTTTTTGAATCGTCAATCAAAATGGGAATAATTAATCCGGAACTTAATTGGTCAGGCTAAATGGCTAAGCAAGCTCCAAATGATCCAAAATAGTGGCGTATTAAATTTTCTCATTGTTCATGTTGAAGCTTATTTATTCAATGAAGGGAATGCCCGTCATCATCATTCCCTATCAAAAGAAATTAATTTTCCGAATACGGGTTTGAAGTAGATATTTTATCCTAATATAGTAATCATTATATATTCGAAGGACAAATAGGAAATTGGATCCCTCGACATTGGCTATAAATTATTTTGTTATAAAAGGCATCTCTTTTTTCTCTTGCTTATTCAGAAAAATTTTTTTTCTCTGATTCTTTTAAATTTTAACGATTCAAAAAGCTCTATATCATTTTTTTTTTAATAATAAAAAATAACCTTTCCCCTCATTTTTAGACAGAATGAGTGAATCGAGTAAAGAATTGGTAGTGATACAATATGAAAAGTCTGTGACGAAAAAAGCAAAACAGACATCATCAACAAAGTCGGAAATTTCAAACGGATTGCCTAAGAAGTCAGACGAGGGAATAATAAAGAAAAAGAAAGGAATGACTCCGTTCATGATTTATCGTCAAGAAAAGTTGAAGACTAGAAAACCAAATATGACGATGACCGAATTCAGCAAGGAGGTATCAATTAGTTGGAATAAACTATCGGAAAGAGAGAAAATGAAATACCAACGAAGATATCAAATAATTCGAGACCAAAAATCGCAAAAAACAGTTGAATTTGTTCCCGCTGCAACGGACCATAATCCTCCAACTGATATTGATTATATTGATGATGGATCATGTAATGAAGTTATCGTTATTAATTGTGAAAATTTTACTAATAATCTTCGTTGATCCATATTTCTAAAAAAATACTTATTATCGCAATGTTGGAATGAAAAAAAATTCGTGGAGATAAATTTATATTATAAACAAATATTATATTATAAATAATTACAAAAATTTTTTAAAAATCTTTTTATGAGGGAGCTATTCGTAGAGAGTGGACTAATTTATAATAGATTAGAGTAATCTAGAACAGTGTTGGGAAATTGGACAGTTTTGGACAGTTTGGACAGGTTATGTCCAAAATATTTAATATCAAAAAATGTAGATTAAATAATCGGTTAGAAGACAAAATCACGGACTATTTTTTTTTTCCTAATGCGGGCAAAGTTGCAAGGATCTTTTTAATCCGGGAAATTTGTGGGAGAATTTGTACACAAAGATTACTTTTTAGGGCCACTGTTTTGTTTTCTTACGATAAAATCAAATCACGTGCACGTTACATCACGTGTCCGAGGATTTTTGATGGCACTTTCCCGAGGTATTAAACAAACCTGTACAGTACGGTTTGAATGTATGTATGGTATGTATGCTTTAAAAACTATACATGTATGGTTTTTTCATAACAAGTAGTCCATACTTGTATGGTTTCTAATACTATACATATATAAAAAATAAACCATACTATACTCTGGTTGCAATAGTATTAATATACGATAATCCTAGTTTTACCTTAATCGATATAATTTTATTATTTCAGATTATTAAGTGATTATTTTCTCTTATTTTAAAATTTTTGGATTGCTCTATCAGTAGTATTTAACTATGAGTCTATTATCTATAGAAAATCATAAGCTGATATTAATCAACATTATAATTACGTCATCTTACTGCGGATATATTACTCGTTCCCTCTTGATTGGCATAAAACAAGTTATAATCCAATCTAACTACCAAACATAAAAATTGAACCGTTTCCGTAGCTGAATAGAAATTTAAAGCTTCAATTAATAATTTGATATGATAAAAGAAATTATCTTCAAATTTATGTAATGTACGATCTGTTGAATCCATTTGTAATGGAATGGATGATTCCACTTGTGACTCAAGTGAAATAAGTGATTTTATGAATTTCTCATGATAAAGACAAAATAATACTATTGTATGTATCATTTTCGCATAAATCTAAAATATATAAGTTTTTAGAATAAGGAAATCTTTCAATTCTAAATAAAAAATGTTATACTTACTCTCAATAACTTAGCATTAGTTAACATGCATTCTTTAAGACAAGTGTCCAAGAAATCAGAATGATATTGCAGTACTTGATCAATCGTAGAAACCTTTAAATTTAATAATTTTTATAAGCAAGGTATTGAAACACATTTCCAATTTCGAGATCGTACAAACTGCTGAACACAATAAGCGAACTATTGCAACGAGTCCATGCGGCATTAATTAAACGCAAAAATGTTACCTTAGCTAGATTAGCCTCTAAATTTCTCCATTGCGGTTCTAAAACTTCACTCGTTACATAGTAAGCAAACTGCTGTACGAAAACCAACATCCTTTGCCTGAGAGCAAAAGCACGACTTTTCCACGCTTCTAAAGCTGGATGACCTGAGCCACGTCGCCAATGAAATGATTTTGCGTGTTCAGTCCACGTATTACATAATAATTGTTCAATATATTTCAAGTAGAGTAAATGTCTAAATAATAGTTGATATTTAGTAAGTGCTTTACGAGAAATAACTAAAGATAATGGAAAAGTAACAATATAGTCCAAAGTGAGCGCTTCGATTCCTGAAATATTAAATGAATAAACATTTTAATTATAATAAAGCGAAATGATTAACACGATATAAAGTTATTCATAAAAAATTTTTAACCTGTTAATGGTTGTTTGTTACTCCCACCCATGATACTTCCGGATATACTTCCAGACAAACTGCTAACAATACTTCCAGCAATGCTACCTGCCACACTAGAAGCATATCCTGGTTTTTCAGTACCACTTCCCACACCATCCTCTGAACCCTCATTTTCGCTTTCATCTCCCATTTTACCATTCTCTTTTCTGAAAGCGAAACTTTCGACTAAACGATTTGTCCTACTAAATGTGGGAGTTGGTTCCATCATTCCAGCAACATTTATAATACGCAACAATTGATCTACAAGACCAACAGTGCTCATTTCGACTTTTACATCTTCCTTAAATGGATCAGTGTATGCAACTGAAGAAGGATTGCGAAGGACTAAATCAAGAAGAGACTGAAGTTTTGTGAGAGAAACATCTTTGGAGGGCTTTTTCAGTTCAGTTGAAGCAAGATCAAGAAAGTGCGTAAAGAAGTCAGATTGGTCAAGGAAGAAATATCGCTTGATCGATCTATATTATTATATTCCTTGGCAAATTAATTACAATGCTTAAGCATTAAGAGCTATAATAAGTTGAAGTTGTATACCGTAAACGAGCGATTAACTGTTGATCCTTCAGCAATAGATCTAATAAGGTTCCGTTGGCGCATTTATAAGCAATCTCAATATTATCCACGAACCTAAAGAGGGTAATAATATTTTATTCAGTATCGTTACTTTAATATGGTGGTTTATCAAAGATCACTAACCTCCCACCATCCATGGCCACCAGAATGTCACTATTCACGTTTACGTCGGTTCTATCAACTCCATCTTTTCCAACAACATCTTCTATCGACTGCTGTTGTGGTTCTTTGATTGCGATACCGCATTCACGAATCACATTAAGATATTTACCGGCTAATAATATTTTCTTTTTAAATGGGATCAAAAATGGGGGCATAGTCTTATCCCGAATTGTATAACGGGCTTCCCAGTATGCATCGTTAAAGTCTTCTTTCAAGTTTTCTTTTTTAACATTCTTACGCTCCTGTATCATAAACTCTTCGTATGGATCTCGAATTTCACCGTGATGTATCCAAGAATGCAGCATTGATACATAAGGCTGTGAGGTTTTTGAAAGTAAGTACATGTAAAGTTTTTTTGTTGCCGGATCACTATATTTTACCAAAACAATCATATTTATTCATAAATAATCAAAGTTAAACAAATAATATACTTTAAGTCAAAACTACCTACCCGCTCATTGTAGTCATTCTGTCAACCAATATAGTTAAAATACAACCACCTTTGATCTGTTGTGGTATCTCATCTTTTTTGTTATTGAAACCTTCAACTATCAAAATATCATCATCTTCTTCACTTGCATATTGTGCTGCGTCTTGAATGTCCATTATCAGTGAATGAATATTTGACATTGTATGTAAAGTTGGGTGCACATAGAACCAAACTTTTTGGAGAGTAAAAGAAGGCGAAGTTCTAAATTGGTGTTCTAATTGCGTGATTAGAATAAGATATTCCTGAAAGTAAAAAAATAAAGGTTTATCAATGTATGTTTATGTCATCCCGTATTAATTAATAATTTAATACCTTTAATAATCCACGCATTGCCGCACATAAAGCATGACTCACAAATCCATACTCAAACTTGGAATGTTTTTCAATAAAAGCATCAATTGAAGAATAGTAAGTAGCAAGAGGTAAAATACGTTCGGTCAAGTCCTTTAAAGAGGGATCTTTTGAGAATTTAAAAATGAACTTAAGGTAGGTGCTAATTATACAGGAAAAAAAGAAAAAAGAAAACCCTATATACCTAATGATTCGTCCACGTAATAATTAAACCCACTCAATGGTTGTTCTTCCGTAAGATCTTCGGAAAAATCCATTAATATATATTTGCCTTCAATCCCCTTTATTTCATTGAAAATAGTCAATATTATTAAAATAAAATATTGTCAAGTAATCATCGTCTCATACCATCATCACGAATAATAAGTCTTCGATAATTGCATATTCTTGTAATTGCAGTGGCAATAAGCCTATTGTCAAGTCCTTGTCATTGATATCCCGCTACTCAATAAAATTTCAAATGATCATACAATTAACTCGAGTTTTGAGAATTTTCCAAATATAGAAAGTATTAAATACCTTTGATGACAAATGAAGGACTCTGGAATTCAGCGGTGCGCTAATGAATTCTTGTTCATCATAAAATGATTCTGATACAGGATCTTATAACATTAATTCTCAAATTGGATATGACTCAGTTGAGTATAAAAGCTTTTAAATTACCTTCGATTGTAGATTTATATTGAGAAACGCGTGATTTATTAATTGTTTCGAAACTTTTCCCATTTGTACTTTGTCGAATATTCGCTAGTTGAGCAGTAAGCTTTATTTTTATATAATAACGCGTCGAAAGTTTTTAATAATATTATAGCAGCTAAGCTATAAGTAAATACTCACAAAGTACCTTGTTAACTTGTTGTTCGGTGAGTAACCCTTTAGCGGATGCCGTAATAACATTTTTACTTGTCTGTTCAGCTGAAGGGGTTGCAGAAAATGATCTAGGTCTTGGCTTATTCATTTATCTTTATATTAATGAAATTACAAAAAGAACTTAATTTTATATATTGAACGTTTTGAATATAATAAATTTCGACATATCAATTCGGTGTAACAGTATTTCCCCATCGGGAAAGCTGTGTAACAATTAAGAAATACTATGTAGTATAGTCAAACAAAAAAATAGAGAAAATTATACACGTAGTTCAATAGTGCTGAAAATGTATCTCGGAAAAGAAGAAACTTAAAGTTTAGTATCGCGCAGCTTTCCATAAAGTACGATTTATTTTCCAGTGCGGAAACCTAACAGATTACAAAGTGATGATGATGATGAAAAGGATCAAGGAAATTGATAGGTCAAGAAGATATAGGATTGGCCTTACAACAGTTCCCATATTTGCTTTTAGAGCAAGGGGTATGTACTGATTATTGAAAATCTTTTCGATTCATTGTTAAACTATTTACACTTGATCAGCCACATATGATAATTATAATTTGGTCGTAAAGTAATTTGCAAATGTTTAATTATTTGAACCGAATAATTATATCATAACTTCAAAGGTTATCGCGATAAGCAACGAAGTGGCAAAATCCACTAACCAAATGCATTGCGCATATAACTTGTGAAGTTGTTATAAATTATTTTATGGATCAAACAGTATTGATCCAGCATTTCTACCCAAGACCTTTAAGGTTGAAGCTAGGCATAATGCACATGAAGAAATAACCCTCAAAGGGATGTGAAGCGACGAGAAGTTACAAAGACTTTCGACATTAGCAATAGAAGTAAAGTATATGTCTTGGTAAGTTTTAATTCTTACAGAATTTACAAGGAGATCAAGTTACACTAATAGAAATTAAGCAAAGAAGGCATGTGGAGAATGATAACAAGTGTAATGCAAAGATGAGAATGTGGAGTATAGAGTATTAACTGACTTTGCCAAAACATAGTCAATAAATTGGAAAAGAACTCCTAAATGATTTTGAACAATTTTGGAAATTCTGTTATAGGAAAGCCTAATCGATTATCTATAATAAGTAACCCTTGTTAAAAAATTGTAATAAATTTTATAAACTTGAGATCGATAATTTTCTTGTACCGTTAAAGTTGGCCCTTACCGATCCTAAATTCAAAAAAATAAAGTTTCTGAACTTGGGAAAGTTTAATGTCTCAAAAAGATGAAGAATCGAAGAATTAAGAAATTCGTAACTCTAACAAATTATCGATTTGACATAGTAAAGTAATTTTGTAAAATCAGAGGTCGAGACATAAAAATTGCTGTAATGAAAATTAAAAAATAATACCCAAGTATATGTATTTTCGATGATACTAATTTCATTATTAATTTTTTTTATATGCATGTAATGACTTGAAATTTGAATAAGGTTTCTTAGTTATACTAATTAATGATTTATAAATATTTTCATTTGCAATTAATAAATACATCAAACGTCATTATGCAATGAAGCAAATATTTTAGGATAAATGTGTACTTTCTTTAGTAACTTCAATAATAGGAATTCATCATTAGATTGTTGCCATTTGTTAATTAAATCTTTAAAATTTTTAAGTAAAATTGAATATTTTTCAGCTTGAAAGGTTAAATCACATTATAGAATTAAAGAAAAGGCAAGTTTTAATACATAATGAAATATATTTGATTAATGTTAAATGTATTTAATATTGATATTTTTTGAGCCAGTTGTTGATATAAATTTTCTATATTAAGATTACCACATGTACTTGCTATGAGTATTACTGTAGAAGATTACGAACAGCATGTAGAAGAGTTTAACATTCATGAATGTTGGGAATAGTTGGATGAAAAAGTCATTATCTATGAATAACCTTCTGTATTATATGAAGTAAGCATCTCTGCAATTTCTAGAGAAATAATGGTCGCTTGTAAAAATGATATCGATACTCTGCTAAGATTTATAGTTTTGGCTCTTCTAGTAAGTATTAATGTTAATAACATATTGCTCTTTTTGTGACATTATATTTATTTGATTGCTTAAGGAACATGTGACATAAACTGTAAAAAAGAAGCTGATGTATCATTTCGTCTGATAAAACCAAGTGTAACTGCACCAAATGGGAGTAATAGAAACGTAATTTCTGTTTTTTTTATTTGTTATACACTCTTTAAATCTAGTAATTTCATATACTTTTTATTTAGGAATTTTCTTGACCAAATTTAGTTGTAGAAATAGCTTATACTGAATCATTAGATTATGTTAAAGAAGCTTTGAAATATTGGATAAGTCTTAATCACACACATAATTGTATTATTATAAAAATTGATCCAGTTCTCCAAGAACAAGTATCTACCTGTATAAGAATAAGTTATATTTATATAATGTAATGATCATATTATTTATATAATATTCTCTAATTCATTGTAGGCTTGACATTATTATATATCAGATAAAAAAACAAGAAACAAAATTCCATCTAAAATTATGGTAATGTTAAATGTTAGTAATTCGCTTTTTGTTAACATATTAAAATTTTCTAGTTTATTAATTTGAATTTGAAATGCAGAATTTCCATTAAATGTTTTACGAGATCAATGCATCATTAAGAAGATATTATGCTATCTTTATCATGATTTGAAACCTCTTGCCTAAATCCTTCAAAATCTTCCTGATCCTATTCCATTAAACTTCTATTTTGTTCGACGTGCTATCACAGAAGTATATAACATTTAGGGAAATACCGTACTGACTTTACACGATACTGTAGCCCCAGTTTAATGAGTTTTTTTTTGCATACCATGTTAATTGATTCTGTTTGAATTTATCTTTTAATTACTTTAATTAGCATTTTTTATCGATGTATATATATGATACATATCTTGTATATTTATTAACGTTTACTGTTAAATTCTGTTACTAATAACTGAAAAATAATTGTATTGTGTCATATACAAATGATCATAAATCTATGATATATAAAAAATGTAATAATTTTTCTTAATGAATATATTAAACAAAAGAATTATACGAATGTAATTAAAGTTTTGAGTTTATTCAATAAGACTAATTTTAGACATATAAGTCTTCTTAATTTCAAACATACCTTAAAGCAGACTAACTTTTTCGTATAATTATTTCTTGAATTAATTCCTTGCTTGTTTGATAATGAAAAAATTCTATACATCTTTTGTGTTGTTTTCTTTATTTCGATTGCAAACTATATTTTAGATAAAATATATCTAGTTATAAGCCTTGAGAGTATTTAGATATTTTTAAGAAATCTGATCAGCAATTTTCTGATAAAGGTCTGGATCTGAGAAGTTCGTTACAATTTTACAGCATATATTTTTATGTTTATTTTGATAAAAAAAGAATACCATGAGACACGATATTTTACATTAGCAAATGTATTATTCCATATATGTCCTTTAGAGCAATTCAATAATAGTTTAGAATGTGCATCTTTATAACTTTTAAAAAACAGTTTCTATTTCTATTGTATTTCTATTGTGTTTCTATCGCTAAATTTTGCATATTCTCAATGTTCTGATTACTTCTAACATATATAAGGCATCATGAATCTTAAGTTTTTATATTTTCAAGTATTATATTCCATTCATGATTTCTTATATATTTTTATCTCAAATGAGATGAACCATTAATATATTTATTTGAAATACAATTTTCACCATTATTAATTGCAATTATATTAGCAATATAGAGAGTATTCTTAGCTTAGCTATATAAATACCATAAAATTTATTTTTATTCTATCAAATAATGCAGTCTATTTATTATCTTTTATATATTCTATTATATAGATAAATAATTATTAGTATATTTATCTAAAAAATACATCCTTTCTTATTGTCTGACAATTTCTTTTGCATTATATAAAGTTAACCTTTTTAGTATTTTGTAAATTAAGATTTTTTAATATTTTAAATATAATTATGCATTATTCAGATAAAGCTAAGACCTCATCAGTTAAAAATTAATTTCTTGCCTATTATAGACCTAGTATTTATAAGAATTAGATAACTATCTGCTTCAATTGCTAAAAATTAATAAAGATTATGATGTAAAGTCAAAATGATATATTTCAGTGAATAACACAAATATGATATAAGATTATATTTAAGAATTGATATAAAATATTAAAGATAAATAATTGTTTATTAACTTTTCTTCTATTAGTACCAAAATCTATTGAATATTTACAATATATAAATTTTACATCTACTAAAACAAGAAATTAGATGAATGAATATTAAGACTTTATAAAAGAAATATTTATGCATAATCTCTATATATAATTATTAAATTATATATTATAAACTAGAAAATGAAAATCATTTAAGTCTGAAGTAAAATTTTTTATTTAAATCAATAAATATAAATAAATTAATTTTTATTATTTTATTTTTGTTTTTTTTATTTACTGATTTTATTGTATACGTGATATAACAAATAGAAATACTTACGTAATTAAACTTTTCATATTTCTTAAAATACATTTCTTATTTTTTATTAGTATATATGGTATAATAATTAATATAATAAATAATATAATGCAAATCCTTTTCAATCAAAAATTTTAGTATAATAAATTTAAGAAATATTTAAAAATAATAAATTATATTATCTTTAATTTAAATAATATAAATAATAATATTAAAGTTCTAGTTATTAATATTAATTATATAAAATTATTAAATATAATTGATAAATTTATTAGAAGAATAGAGAAGAATAGATAAATTTTATATAATAAATTATTATAAATTGTATTTTAATTAATATTTATTTTATTATGGTAGCTGTCACTTATAAATCACACTAGTTCATTCTTATGTATTATTTATTTAATTCTTCCACTATATATTCAGGAATATAATGGTGAGATTTATACTTTTTGGTAGCATATTCTGCCAACTTACCAGTTATTCCTTTTCTATATAAATCTATATAACGCCATGCCTTTCTAGCAAATTTTCTTATTGTAACTATACTAATGGATTCCAAAGCTGTAAGAACAACACG